TTCATAGAAAAGGTCATAAGATATACATACACGAAGATCAAGAAGACACAAATATGGTAAAACTAAACTCAAATTTGAAAAAATCACGAATTTCAATTTTGCTTTAAAAAAGCAATTGTTCTATATCTATGTAAAGTGCATGAGAAGCACATTAGAAAACCGAAAAAATTAACCCTCTAGGTTAATTAGGTCACGTGCTAGAGCAGTCCAAAGTTGCGAATTTGGCTTTTTACGGATAGCTATAAAACCGGAAGTACATGTCGGAGGTCAAAGGTCAAAGTATCAAATGATAGCCAAGGTCAATGATCTTTGACCCTATAAAGGTCAAGGTCATCAAAGGTCAAGGTCACGAGATATACGCCATCAAATATTGAAAAAATTCAATCGCAAATTGCAAAAAAGCAAAATCGAAATTCAAAAATCGGCTTCCTGCGATCTCTCTTAATTTTTATGTTCTTTCATTTGACACCAAAATTTTGAAATTCGGTTCAGCCAAATTGGCTGAATAAAAATCGAAGAGTTTCAGGGAAATCAAAATGGCGGCCAAAGTTTCACGTCTGTTCCGGATTTTTTTTTCTTCGTTTTTTTGTCATAACTTTGTCTATCTATCAGCATAAATTTTTTTGTCCTATACAAATTACACCGGAAGATATTCAACCGGAAGTGAACATCGATTTCCTGTTTAAACCGGAAGTGAAATTGAAAATTTTACTGTACCATTTTGTTTACTTTCTTAAACTGTCTTTGCTCAATTTTTTTCAGATTAATCAGACAAAAAGCAAAAAAAATGAAAAAAATGCAAAATTTGGCAAAAAAAATGTCTGCTACAAATTTTCGAATTATGAAATTTTGAAACTGCTATTCTTTCAGATTTTGCCAGTAGATTCCAAAAATGTAAACCCAAAGAAAATCGACCGAAAAATACGACTTCTAGAGCCGATTAACTATTCTTGCACATATTGAACTGTGGCACTTCCGGTTTTGCAAAAAAGATCCAAAATATATTTATGCACATCGTCGCCTATATCTAAGGTTCGTGAATGTTGAATGGTTGCTGCAACTATTGTAGTCTAAGCTCAGGAAGGTGTGTAAATTTCGAAAAAAAAAAAAAATCGATAACAAACTGGGACTTTGCCGTAGCAAAGTCCCACAACTAGAGCCACTCGTGGCACAGAGTGGGACTTTGCAAATGTAGCAAAATGCAAAAGAACCTGAAAAAATCAACCTTCCACGATAATTAGATCAAGCGCAAGAACGGTGTAAAGTTGAGAAATTTTCATTTTTTAGAAGATTGTAATACCGCAAGTGGACGTCAGACCTCACAAATGAAAGTATCAGCAGATAGCCAAGGTCAATGACCTTTGATCTTGTAAAGGAGAAGGTCTAAAAAGGTCAAGATCAAGAGATATACGCCATCAAAATTTCAAATTGCTAACGACTATAAAACCGGAAGTTGACATAGGACGGCAAATATAAGAGTATAAATAGATAGCCAATGCCAATGACGTTTGATGTTAGAAAGGTCAAGGTCAACAAAGGTCAAGGTCAAAAATTGAAAATTTTTAAATTCCAAAACCTGTTCCTTTTTTTGAACTATGAAGCAAAAACAATTGAAATTCTAAGACAAAGTGGCTCAATATAAGAGGTAATTGTATGCAAAGTTCCATTTTGAACAAACGTATACTTTGCGAGTTATGCCCCTGGCCAAAAATGTCAATAATGAGTAATTTAACCCGGATGTGCCAGGCCCACTTCAATTTTTTTTGCATAGGTTAATTGATATTCAGAATGTTACGTTATGTTCGAAATGTAAAGCTCGTACATAATATAGGTCAAAAGATATAGGTCAACAAACGTCAACAAAGGTCAAAATCGAATAATGAAAAAATCTAAATGTTAAAACCCGTTCCTTTTTTGGAACTATAAGGCTGAAACAACTGAGCTGTTAACACAAACTGGCCAAAAGGATGAGGTAATTGTGTGCAAAGTCCCTTTTTGAACAAACGCATCCTATGCGAGTTATGCCCCTGCCTCTAAATGTAAACAATTAGTAATTCATCCCGGATGTGCCACGCCCACATAAGTTTTTTTGTCATAGGTGAATTCATATTCAAAGT